ATTAATTAATGCGTCAGTGTTAATGTTTTACAATTGTGTGTATCTTTGTTTTCAGTGTGGTAATTAGGCAGATAAATGGGTCTCTTTGCCAGCATATTGTGTTTAAAAGCTCCAAGGAAAGACTGTATTTCATGCGTTTAATTGATTGAGTTTCTCATTAGATTGACATTACTTACTGTTTAACTTCAAGACAAACAGATTGAAAGTTATTAAAGCAAATAATGAATAGAGGATCAAACTTATAAATCTCAACAGGGTCCGCAGCTTGACGTGACATAAGTATGTAGACAGTTTTATTCTTTTATTCATTGCCATCATCAGAAATTATGTAATTACACAGAGTAGCGGAGCAGAAGAGACGGGAGATTGTCTGAAAGACTGTCTACCGACCTCGTTTATTTCAAAGGACAAATCATTATTATCACAAAAGTATTATGCTGTTTTGAACGAAAGAAGTGTAGGAGACTGATGAACAAAGAATATTAAAAAAAATTAAAGAGGAATTAGCACTAAAGAAGCAGCGGCATTGCTTGTTATCACTAAGAAAGCATACAGTTTTTGAAGGATAATTTACATGCACTTTGTTATTAACACATTTATTCTTAGTTTTCACAATTCATGCATGTTTTAGGTTGATTTTTGGTTGAACATGCTTGAATATATGCTTCGGCATCTCAACACTTACTATGTCCCTTGACATTCAGAAATTTGAACTACTAGTTTGAAGTTTTCATTAGATCATAATGGCTTTTTTATGCTAACAACTTTTTTTTCTCAGCCTCTTTCTTTTAAACCATTGCAAAACATAATTATAAATATAAATGTTCTTGTGTTCTAAGAGTGTTTTTGTTGTTGTTAGCAACAGGCATCTCTGTCTGGTTATATTAGTTACTAGGTGTTCTTTGTGCACCCAAAATAAAATGGCTTTTTACATACTGTACAAGGACTTTTCTGTCTTGCTATCATCAGTAAGAAAAAAAGGGTAAAGTGTTCATGTAGCATTAAGAGATTGGCTTCTCAATTGAATTATTCAGACATGAGCTGTTTTGCCATTATCCTTCAGCCATATAGGCGACCTGTTAGAGCAGGGATGTGCAATGCATATATCATTATTTTTTAGCTGGGCATAGCTCCCAAAATAAAATATGAAAATGGAGGGACTGTCCATTTATGCTGTCATTCTTTTTATGCTGGGTTACTTTGTGAAAGGTATAAAGAAAAGAAAATGTTTACCAATGGGTTAATGTTGGATTTGTATATTACAAGCACACATCTTCGTGTGGATTATTGTGTTTTTATCAGCTGTTTGGACTCTCATTCTGACGGCATCCATTCACTGCAGAGGACCCATTGTTGAGCAAGTGATGCAATGCAAAATTTCTCCAAATCCATTCTGATGAAGAAACAAACTCATCTTCATCTCAGATGGCCTAAGGTTGAGTACATTTTAAGCACATTTTAATTTTTGAGTGAAATATCCTTTTAATTGACAGCAATTCAAGTAGTTTACTTTTAAAAAATAATGAAGTAAATATGATTTTTCAACCCATTGGCAAAAAAGAGAGATATTGAGGCTTTAACATCTGCTATAGTGACATCCTATGCAGACCAATCCATGCATGAGTCACTGCTTGAGTCACCCAGAGCTGGAACACGTCTGAGAACTACTCTGAATGACCATTAAGACTATACACTCATTATTATCAGCAATTCCACCCCAGCACGCTCACGACAAACAAGGACCTTTGATAAGTAAACAACGTCATAGCTTCGGTGTGCTTATTTTGAACTCCTCTAAAAATAATCTCTTTTCTAAGAACATTCTACAACATTTGAAGTTCTTCAGAGTGAGTATTTAGAGAGGAAAAACAAAAGTGTGCAGGAGCATGAATGAATAATGGAACTGGAAACCTCGGGGATATGAAGAAGCTTGACTCTAAATGAACAATTTAACTGTGTTTCTCTTATAGAGGCAAAGATCCAACTCATCTATCTGACTAAGAGCAACTTTATGGGCATTTCTTTACTAGGTGTCACTAAGTGCCTCCCCTAACATGATTCCCCTGCTGAGCCATGGACTCCTTGTTACTGGCTCCCAGCAACCATAGATAATTACTGAATGTGGCAGGGCCTTCCATACTATGAAAGGCTATTTGAAGACTTTAGTCATTTTTTTTTCAATGAGGTTTTTAAAAGGACAGTTCAGTTCACCCACAAATAGACATTCTGTCATCTTTTACTCACCCTGATGTCGTTTCAAACCTGTATGACTTTGTTTCTTCTGCAGAACATAAAAAAAAGTTATTCTGATGAACAGTTTTTGTTCATACAACAAAAGTCAATGCGGTCTAAAACAACATTTCAAAACTTCTTTTGTGTTTCACATCAGCCATTCATTCTTTCATATAATTATTTCAAAAATAAATAATCAATTAACAATTAAATTAATAAGGTGCTATTAATAGCTCATTTTGTGCAAATAAATGAGTTGTGGCTTTGAGTGGACTTGCTTTTTGAACGCATTCATCATTCCCACTGCCTGAATGTTTGAGCAGCACTGAATAATTTAAATTTATTCAATTTGATTTTATTTAAATAATTTTATTTTTTATTATAATCATTTTATTTAAATAAAATAAATACATTTGGTGCTATTAATGGCTCATTTTGTATAAAAGAATATTACTGGTGGCTTTCAGTGTACTTGATTTTTGCACGCATTCTGAATTCCCACTGCCTGAATGTTTGAGCAGCACTAAAGAATTTAATTTTATTTTATTTTATTCAAATAATACATTAATAATAATGAAATAAACAAAATGATATTTATAGCTTAATTTGCACAGCTGCTTTCAGTGCACTTGACTTCTGTGCATATTCTTCATTCCCACTGCGTGTGTATATTTTTAATCACAGGCATCGGACAAGTGTTCTATTTCTGGGAAAACGACAGTCTTGCATGCACTGAGGTGAGTGGTACCATGCAGTTGCCCAGGTGAGAGAAAGAGATTGCTGGTCTCCTTCCCGCTAATTAACATGCTGTGTCCTTATACACAGTGAATGAAATAAACAAAGTTCATCTCTGTGACACCTGTAAGGGAAAATTATTACATAAAAACCCCTTTATGTTGGTGGTTCGGTGTGGGGTGTCTGCTGTAATGTGAGTTCTCAGTGTTCTTTGGACACAGTGAGTCACTGGTTTGGTTTCATTCAGAGTTGGATTAAAAATGCCTCCTCACAGTACACTTTGTACTTTTCCAAGAGTGACAACTTGACCCAAGCCGGGTATATCTCGTGCCCCAGTGGGCAAAATAAGTTGGTTGTTTGTGCCATTGAGGAAAAGGGACTAAAATGATTCCCCGTGAGCCTGGTTGCCATGGAAACAGAATTGCCTCGCTCCAAAAGGCAGAGAAAATAGACCAGATATTACAGGTTAGTGGAAGTAACTTCACTTGTGCTGTTTTTCAGTGTCTTAAGACAATAAATCACTGGGTTTGGACTGTAAAGATGGACCAGCAAATCTCTTTAAATCCTAAAATCATGGGTCTGTCCAGGAAAAGCACTGAAAAAAAATGATTCATTGAATTTACTAAAAAACATTTAAGGTAAGTGGTTGCAATCAATTTATTTTAGCTACATTTAAATAAACACATTTAGTTGACTAACTTTCAACATATATATTTTTTTATTAAATGTAGTTAAAATAAATAGTTTGCAACCATTTACCTTAAAAAAAAAATTAGTATCATTTTTTTCAGTGAACAATTTTCGAACACTCTGGTGACAGAGGGTCATGTTTTAGCTACCTTGAGCATCCAAGGCATAACTTAAATACAGAAACTGAATTATGATATGATCCCTTAGTAAATAATGGTTTTAATAGCAGTCACATATGTAGAAAGTTAATGAATTTAATTCAGAAAGAAACAAACAGCTGTTTCATCAAACTTTTACGGTAAAAAAAAAAACCTAGCATTTGCCTGCCATCTAGTGCGAAGTGTTTGAAAATAATATGTATGTGATAATGAAGACAACAGTAGGGAAATATAAGATGAGGATATTAAATGGGAAATGTGGTGACATTGTGTACTATAACTTGTATAACATTCTTGACCTTATATTGTAATTGAAAAAAGATATTAAAAATATTTAATATCCACAAGAGGGCGATATTTATCCGTTTGCCGGGAGCTTTTACTTGCTTCTATGCAGATGACTTCATATAAGAAAATTTGGGAAACCTTTTTAGTAACTCTCATTACTAACATCATCAAGCATTACTTACCATTTTATTATAATACTAGTTTGTGCATATTCACATAGGTAAACGTGTTAATTCATATACTTTATCATGTCACTTTTTTGTTTGATTCTTAGCATTGTATATTTAATAATGAATTATTAATGAAAATTATTATAAAGCAAAACATTAAGTAAACGCAATGGATTTAAAAGCTCTAACTGGAGGATTTTATTTATTTATTATTTATTTATTTAGTCCAAAAATATCAATCTGCTTATAACAAAGGGATATATTGATTAATTAAAAGTTAAATGACAAATTATATTAATTGAATGTGTCCTTGGCAATCACAAACGACGGTGATTAGTCTGAGCAGATGAAATAAACAGGCTACCACGTGATATGCCGCATTCGTTTTAGCAACAATAATTTAATTTAATTTGATTTGAATGAGAACTCAGAGAATGAGAAATAAACTTTCACAGATGTTGAAAATATATAGGGAATAGTTTAATTAGATGATTATTGTTTTGGAATCATGCCTGACCAATTACCTGGACCCTCTTTTTTCTATTCTTCCCACTAATTCAATTTCTGTGGAGGTATTATTGTATTGCATTGTTACCAATCTTTAATAGAACACTGAAGGCTCATGCACGTAAAAATATAAGTTTTTACTGAGTTTTCTGTGGAGGTAATTAATGATGTTGGATGGTTTTGTGGTTGTGATTGGTTTAGCAGGCGCATGCGCACTAGGGCGCACAACTCTCAACTTGAAGTCCGAAAGTTCTGCCGCTGCTCTCTGTTTCTGAGGAGGAGTCGCGCTCAACTTCATTTCAAAACATTAATATGAGGGACGCTCGGAAATATCTGTTGATTTCTGACACAAACGTCTGCTGAAGGAAGTTTATCATTTCAAATAACGATAGGACTCTCATTACATTAGAAGGTAAGCCATTTACGATATTTGAAACCGCGATTAAACACTGCTAATGTGCTTCATCTGTATAGCACCTGAGAGTCGTTTACGCGTTTTAAGATGGTTAGAATGATGTTTCTATGCTTGTTATTTTCCCCTTTTTTTCTGTTTACTCATTCGTTGTCTTTTTTCTTAACTATACTTTTAGACTCCAAAGATTTTAAATAAATGTTACATTTTATGAGTGCATTTGTACAAAATCCCTATTTTTTAACTTTTATAACAGATTAACTAACGTAGAGATCTATGGTATTTTTGGGCATGAGCTACAGTAACTTTTTCTTTTTTTTTACTTGTGAATGTGTATTTTTGTTGGACAATATCACATTTATTTTCTTGTGAATTTGTGGAAGCTGAATTTGCTTGTGGGTGTGACTTTTGGTTGTGTGACTGAATCCTAAATCTGAAGTTGGTCATGAAGTTGGTCGTTTGTGCACACAAAGTAAAAGAACTTGAAGTCCGAAAGTTCTGCCGCTGCTCTCTGTTTCTGAGGAGGAGTCGCGCTCAACTTCATTTCAAAACATTAATATGAGGGACGCTCGGAAATATCTGTTGATTTCTGACACAAACGTCTGCTGAAGGAAGTTTATCATTTCAAATAACGATAGGACTCTCATTACATTAGAAGGTAAGCCATTTACGATATTTGATACCGCGATTAAACACTGCTAATGTGCTTCATCTGTATAGCACCTGAGAGTCGTTTACGCGTTTTAAGATGGTTAGAATGATGTTTCTATGCTTGTTTTTTCCCCTTTTTTTCTGTTTACTCATTCGTTGTCTTTTTTCTTAACTATACTTTTAGACTCCAAAGATTTTAAATAAATGTTACATTTTATGAGTGCATTTGTACAAACTCCCTATTTTTTTTAACTTTTATAACAGATTAACTAACGTAGAGATCTATGGTATTTTTGGGCATGAGCTACAGTAACTTTTTCTTTTTTTAACTTGTGAATGTGTATTTTTGTTGGACAATATCACATTTATTTTCTTGTGAATTTGTGGAAGCTGAATTTGCTTGTGGGTGTGACTTTTGGTTGTGTGACTGAATCCTAAATCTGAAGTTGGTCATGAAGTTGGTCGTTTGTGCACACAAAGTAAAAGGACTGTCTTAACCTGGTGCTGTAAAGGCTTTAAACCTGGAGCTGTGTTTACTGTAACTTCCAGGGTGGAACTGTGGCCTTTCACAGTGGGAAAAGGTCAGCTATGACATCAGGGATTATTTTTTTTAATTCTTCAAATATAAGACCCCAAATTGCTCCCATGCAGGCTTGAAGTGTGTGTCAGATGTTTCCTATCTTGTCCTCCACATGTTTCCTTGTATTAATTTGAGCAAACCACAGACGAGCTACAAAATGTCAGAATCAAAGCATTATCAGTGCAGCCATTTGTTTTTGAGATTTTAATGATGTTTATGTAACTTTGTTGTGATTGGGATAAAAAGGCAAATCTATCATACGCCATGTGATCACACACAGTAAGTGCAGGGTTGAGTCACAGAAGCAAAGTGAATAAGAACACATTTTTGGACTGTGTCGATTTAAGGGCTTTACTGATGGGCCTGTGGGTGTACGTTAGACATAAATGGTTGGGAAATTCTGATGTACGGGGAGTGATGTGTCTCTGGTCTTTATCGGCTGACGGCTCACTCCTCTTTAAGAGGAATGCTGCTCAAAAGCACTTTAACCAAGTGATACGAGATATGCTTTTTTTCATTCAGGAACTCAAAGCAAAGCAAAATGTTCTATGCAGAAATCTTAATTTGCACACTCCAACATACAGCCGAATGATTAGTTGTGGATGGGACTTTGCCACTAGGAGCTTATTTAATGCAGAGGGCCACATATGTGTCACATCTGTGTGTTTGTAGAGCGTATAGCTCAGTAGCACGATCCATCTGAGGGATTGGGTGAATTTGGGACGAGGCTCAGCCTGGATAACGGCACGGGCAGTGGGTTGTTTTTCTTTCAGATTACCCGCACTCCATCCCCTATCTCCACATCTGGCCAATGTCAGAGTATGTAAATAAATCAAAACGACTTCTACCTTTGTACTGTCTGGGCACCAAGCCAGCTAGTCACGACCGTCCCTCCTACAGTGCTTTGGTTAACATCCCTTTAAGGCAATATGCGGTCTGCTGATTTATTGTATATTTACTAGTAGAACACTTGAATTAATTTGCATGAGGGGCTTGACGGTGCTTTGGCCTGAGGGCGGGATGTACGATATCTATGTTTGGAGGAAGTGCTGATTGTGAAGGTATGTGAGAGGGAGGGAGCCCACATCTGGAGGAGTTTTTCCGGAATCTGGGAGAAGGGGGAGGTTCTCGATGAAGCTGGTCATTTGGGTCATGGAGTGATTGGTGCATGGTACACACAGGGCCTCTGGCTGAGACTAAATATACAGCCAATTAAATCAACCCGACTGCTTTTTCCCGTCTTTCCGTATGGAAATGTAATTCCTCAGTCCATTTGCGACTGATTAAAATCTGTTGTGTTTACTACTGGAAAGTATTGTTCAAAAGTGTACTTGGAGCCAAAGATCACTCCACACTATCACGAGGGGCTCGCTTTTATCCATATGGTTTTCCGTCCAGGCTTCGTGAAATGGAAAATCTAAATATCTGTGAAAAGAACAGATCAGAGCTGTTCTCATCAGAGTGGATGGAAACACAATATGTGTGTCATACTTGAGCTTAGTTTCTTTTGTTGGGTCAGAATATGAATGCAGAAAAGATATAGAGCACATGAACATAATCATTGGATATATATATATATATATAAGACCCCAAATTTCTCCCATGCAGATTATGTGACACACAATCATATATGGTATGAAGGATCTGAGAGTCATATAATTGATTTCTGATTTCATAATCTTAAACTGGTCAAATTACATCCCTGATTAACTCTTCTGAAGTAAGCAAATATTCACTTTCAGACTTTCCACTTGCACTATTTGGAGAAACTGCCAGATATCCAGGGCTTCCCCATAGGAAGTGATGCAGGCAGCTGACTAAATACAGCTCCTTTTCCCTCCAGGGATGTGGAGAATGTTTTCTCTTTGCCAAAAGTAACTGGAAATTCTGTGGATTTCAAGCTGGGCGGACCTCCACTTTGGCCAGTGTTTCTAAAGGTGGTAATGGATCTGAATGTCAATTCAAATCCAGTAGATTGTAACTTATTTTAGCACTTTCATTCATCATTGAAGTTTCTGTGAGGATTTGGTTGATGTTTTGTGGTCAGCAGCTTGATGTGGTCTTTGGGCTCTAAAACAGCTTTTATTTGCTTGGAACAAGTGATGTATACAAAGGACTCATTGACCCGACGAAATCTAATATCCATAAACAAAACCTTGGTCTGCTCCTCTTGCTACATAAAAACTGTGAAGTGATGTGGGCTGGTCTTGCCCTTTCTGCGGTCCTCGTTGATCAGATAAGGTCATAATTGAATAGGTTCATGTTAGAATGAGAATGTAGCTTGTTTCGGTGTTCTTTCTCTCCGGGTCGTGGTAAATGGACAAACAAAGACCTCTGTGTTAGTTGTTGAGAGTTCCAGCTCTCTTGCAGTCTGTAACAAAATTAAGTAGGATACCCCACTGTTTTAGCTTGTAATTGTGACCAGCAGTGTAGTCCTATATGTGATGAGTCAGTATGGTTTACTAGTTGTCCATTAAACAACTGATGTAGTTGTTTGTTTGTATTTTCCCTATTATTTTTTTTTAGTTTTGATATATTTTTAGGTAGTTTGCATAGTAAAACTTTTAATTTGTGTTCATCCCCCTTTATAGCACCGCTGTAAAATCCATACACATTCAAAAGAGTGTCGGGGTGGGGGAGGATATCTTGAGACCAATGTATTCTGTTTTTACATCCATTGGCCTACAAGTTAAAGTATTCATAATGTGAACATTTATTAGAATTTGAAATATCATGGTTAAATAAGTAAATGCAATATAATACATTTTAAACACAAAAAAATATCATCTTTGACCTTCCTCCTACATCAATGTTATTTTAGTATTATTTCTTAATATTTGTAGAATCTAAAGAAATTTAATATTTTACTTTATATTCTGTATGAGCTTATTTTTACATTTCCATTTTAACATTTTTTCCCTTTTTGTTAGTTTTTTTGTTTAGTAAATCATTTTAATATTTAGCTTTAATTTATTTCAGCTTATTTCAGTTTAGTTGCTAAATTAATTTATTTCAGCTTTATTTGAATGATTGAAAATTATTTTAATAGTTTATTTTTAGTTAACAGTAACAACACTGTCTTGCATACCTTAAGGATTGTAGTATGATTTTTTTGTAAACAAATTTGAGCTGCTGCTCATGCATGTTTTGACATGTGTTGTTAAGTGAGGTATAGCCGTCTATTAGATTTAATTTGCCTTGCTATTGAAAATTATTTTAATAGTTTATTTTTAGTTAACAGTAACAACACTGTCTTGCATACCTTAAGGATTGTGGTATGATTTTTTGTAAACAAATTTGAGCTGCTGCTCATGCATGTTTTGACATGTGTTGTTAAGTGAGGTATAGCCGTCTATTAGATTTAATTTGCCTTGCTAATATAAATTAGTTTTGAAATATTAATTCAGGGATCCAACCTGGTGGGTGGAGAAGGGAAGCTTCTGTCAAGATGTAGACCAGTGGCAGTAACTGGCTGGACATGAATCCTGTGGGACTTTGTTTTGAAGGTCTTGAATTCCAAGCATTCCAACTCGCAGTGAAGAAAAATCCTGGGAGAATCATGCCATTATCCCACACATGAGTCCTCCCATTCTGCATAGTGGGACAGAAACGCCTCATACTAGTGCCAGACAGGAGAGAGAACATCAGACAGATGGAAAGCAGGATTTAAAAAAATATTTTTTAGAGCAATGTCCTTGCTTACTTTTAAATGTCACATTTGCAGGTTTCAAGAAAGGTGATCATGATGTGCGATGCGAGTGAAATGTTGGCAGCTGCTCTGGAGCAGATGGATGGCATCATTGCAGGTACAACTAAATAATGAAAAATACTATATACAAAAATGATTCATTCTCTTCTTTTCTTTGTTTATTTGCAGTTTTACAGTAATCAACAGTGTAGTCATTTATTTAAAACAAAAGACGCAAATTATTTGAAAGAATTTTTAGGGTCAATGCACATACGTAAACTTGCAAGGAGAATAAATCTGCACTGTGAGTGCTTCTGCAGATTTTTGAGAACTGAGAGTATGCGCAGTGAGCGACATTACAAGGCTTTTCCACTATTTCAGCACTGATGAAATCTAATGCTTATTCAGTATGCGACCACAATATTGTCCATCTCTGGGAACATCAGGGACGCATCAGAGAAAAATGAATGTCTTTGCTTGGAGCAAGAGTGAGTCTCTTGAAGGTTATGCTTTTCCATTCACTCTGTTATTACGGAAGTGGACGTCCCACTGTTTACATCATCTGACAATAAGCCACCCGAGCAGTGTGGTCACAGTCATCCAACCTGTGTTTTGTTTTGGAAAGCGCTGAAAGTAGCTACAGCAAAACATTCAGATTTAAAGTGAATTCACCCAAGAATTCAATTTCATTCATTTACTCACTCTCATTTTCTGTTCATTTTTAGGGAATACAACCACACAGTCACGGTCACACAATTAAAAAAAAAATGACACAAATATAACAATAGAAGTAGTCTATTCGGTTTGTGCACTATATAGCAGTCTATTCAATTGTACATGGAACCCAGTAATTTTGACTCATCCCAAAATTCCTTCACTGATCCTCATTTGCACTCAGGTTCTAAGGCTATGAATTACACCAATGGCCTCTTTGATTGTCAGTCACCAACCTCACCATTCCTGGGCAGCCTTCGGGTGCTGCACCTCTTGGAGGACCTGAGGGCTGCGTTGGACTTGATGGATCCCGAGGAAAAGGAGAGTTTGCGCAGTCAGGTGTCTGAAACCACAGCTGAGGGTCTGATGGAGTGGCTACAAAGCCGACTGGTGGGTTTTCATCAGAAAACAATTGGTAGGCTAAAATAGGAAGCTTTAATAAAGCTTCTTTTAAAATAATATTTGCATTTTTGCTGAAGTTTTGTAAGCTGTTTGATGCAGAAATTACTATTACTATTACTAAGGAAAATACTATTGACTGTTTTTCATATAATGTGCTTGTAAGTCTAACGTAAGATTTTCTCCCTTTGCGTTTTCCATCCTTAACTCCAGTCATGATTCATCTGGGTTAAGCACATTTCAGCTCCCCAGCCCCTTTTTCCATATTTAACCTGAAGCATACTTGCTTTGTGAAATTTCCACTCCTGGGCAGCAAAACGTTCACATGCATCTCATATAGCAGAGTATCATCTGTATGAACCCCACATGACTCACTGATGGCAGCATGTGATTTTCTTTTTCAGGTCCCACTGGCGTTTGACTGAATATGGTCATTTCAGTTCATTTCACTGCATTTTGTTGCCTGTTCAGAGCCTTTTATTTCAAAAATGCGATATGTGTCACACCACACAACCAGTAAATCTGGTGTGTCTATTTGGAAATGTGTTTCCATGTATGTTTAATGTAGAATACAACTACATGTAACACTCTGAGGATTTGTTTATGTTTCCAGACCAATGGCCATGGTTCTGCAGCAGGGGATTTGGTCTACCGGGAGCGACTCTCTCGCTTGGAAAGTGACAAAGAATGTCTAGTGCTCCAGGTAAGTTGTAAAACCAAGTCGAGAGACTTTGTGGGTTGTGTGGGATTTTCTTGTCCGATTTTAAATTGTGTGCCTCGGCTTTCCTTTTATCTGTCACTTTGAATGCAGCAATTGTAGATTCTAAATGTCACGCATCACACACAACTCAATAAGTATCCACTCTGATCCCCCAGGTAAGTGTTCTGACAGATCAGGTGGAAGTTCAAGGAGAAAAAATAAGGGACCTAGACTCGAGCCTTGAGGAACACCGCATGAAACTGAATGCTACAGAAGAGTTACTACAGCAGGTGTGTGATCTCTTTTATAGGCTTATGTCCAATAACAGAAGTGCACTGCATTTAAGACACATTGTTGTAAGGGTGGTCCGTATTAAAGGAATAGATATCCAAAAAAATGTAAACCAATATGTAAATTGTGTGTAGGAGCTGCTTAGCAGAAGTGCTTTAGAGACGGAGAAACTGGAACTGCTGACCGAGGTATCAAGTCTGAAACTAAAGCTAGCTGCTGCAGAGGGGGATTGCAGAGAAAATGAGGTAAGGAGCACATGTTTGCACCATCACCACTGTGAAATTTCATAGGGCACAGAGTCCCACAAGCCTAATAATTGCAGTCTCCAGTCATTAATCAGAACCTTAAAAGTGCTCTGACTGCAGAACAGAATGAACTGTACTGACAATCTGAACATTTAATGATATTAAACCTGGCTATTATGGTTTGACCACCCTGTGGTTTCCATAGTGACCTTCATTGCTGCTTAAGCCCCCAGCTTTATCCAGCAGAGGGTGAGAGCAAAGCACAGGGTGCCAGAGCCATTTCCTGTTATAAAGCTTTTTTTGCCCCGTTTAAGTCCAGACTACACTGGACCCATTCAGTTTTCTCTCACTTGCATGAGCCCAAAGGGGAGTTTAAGTTTCAGAAACCAGAAATCCACAGTGGACCAAAAGAATGGGCTAGGTTTCCTCTGTGTTAGATGAAAATATAGATTTCATTTAAGTATAACTTTGTTCTCAGTTTCAGTGTTTTTTTTCCCCACTTTGTTAGTGTCTTTGAGGTATTTTTTTGGCCTACTCATCCAACAAAACTCAAAGCATTTAGCATTACAATTCACAAAATTCTTCTTGACTCTTTGACTTATAGATATCATGGTCTTTCTCCTTAGGGTCTTTATCACGATGTGAAAGACATGCGCCTTCAGTTGACTTCTATGGAGGACGAGAGACAAGAGTATGAGAGATGTCTTAACTCTTCCAAAGTACGAGTGCCTCATGGTCAGGTGATAATTACACAACATAAGATTAACGGCAGTGAAGTGTAACAGCAAGCACTTGTCTATGAATCACTTAACCACACAGAGAAATCCTTGTGTAGTTCACCCTAACCTTCATGACTAGCCACTGGAATGTGCCAAGCTAATTAACTTTATCCACATGCTCAAATCAGGACAAATTCACATAGCTGGACAGATTCATGAAAAATCATGTCTCTTACTCTTGATTTTTTTCTTGATGTTTTGTTTCTTGCATACTTTGAAATGGCATTTCACATTATTTTCTTGATAATGCTATATTAGTAGATAAGTAAATTTGAGCTAAGTAAATTTGGGGACAAATTCACATAGCTGGACAGATTCATGAAAAATCATGTCTCTTACTCTTGATTTTTTTTTTCTTGATGTTTTGTTTCTTGCATACTTTGAAATGGCATTTCACATTATTTTCTTGATAATGCTATATTAGTAGATAAGTAAATTTGAGCTAAGTAAATTTGGGGTCGGCGCATGCTTATTTTTAGTTCTGGAATGTCCTGGGAGCGTTAATTGTGTTGTTTGTTTTTTTTGTTTAGGAGGAGTTGAGATCACTACAAAAGCTGTTGGAGGAGAGTGAACAGGCACTTACAAGACTTCAGGACCAGGCCATGTCAGAAGCTCCAAACACAGAACGGTCACAAAGCAGAGAGAAAGGTACAATATGAACATTCTGCTCTATCAACAACATGCCAAAGTCAGTTTGAAATGAAACTTGAGGGGATGCAAAATCTAATTTATAATAATGTAGTAATGTACAGGAAGTAGTTGACTGAAGGTGAATAGGTGCATTGTGGATTACGTATGTAAATGTGAGATTTGATCTGGTTTATTTGAACTTGTGATCTGTAAAAAATTCAAATATCAATGTTTTTTTATAATATCTGTTCATGTGTTTTTGTATTCACCATCATTGTTTATGCTGATTGGCATAAATATGGTGGATGAGGGGAAAACGTGACTAGTCGTAGACTTTTGGACTCCACTGTGAACACTATCTAAAGAGACACATTATGCAGCTATTAAATCCACTCTTAAATGCATGACACGGGAACAAAAACATTTTTGCGTTATAAAGGAGAAACTATCCCAGCACACTGTAAGCTCAAGAAAAACTGTGTTGGAATGTATGAGGTATATGAAGGTTTGTATTACACGTCTAGACACGCTTTTTGATTGATGGTGACCTGGTTTTGGCTGCAGACTCCCCTTCTCTTATAACTCTGGTTTGCTAGATGTGCTTGAATTGTCTCACAATATTTATTCTTGACTGCAAATCATCTTTACTTCCAAAATGACGAGTATGCAGTTTCTGGGGTGTTTATTTTAGTGATTCCAGAGACATAAAATTGTATCAAAGGCCCCAGTCTTGTTCTGAAATGTTTAGTGGTTGTATGCCATAAGATATTATTTCTGGAGTTGTTTTTGTGTGTTCAGACATGGAGGTGAAGAGAATGAGGAGTGCTGTTGAGTCTTTGAAGGCAGCTAATGAAGAGAAGGTAACCAATATGATGTCCTGCTATTTTGTACCACCTGCCAGCACACACATTATTTCACATACTTTGGTTTCTAATTAAACCATCTCAGTAATCTTTCTAATTAATTAGTCTTTGCCAGAGCGGTGTGACGCTCCGCTACGTTTTCCGCTCTATGGTCGTGCGCTCCGTTAATATTCCGCTCACGCTCACCGTGAACCAATTCCCGTTCAGATCCCGCTCCGACATAACATTTCTCTAGTAGGCCTAATTGTTTACTGTTTGTAACGAAATTCTTGGACGTAACGCTCCGCTACGTTTTCCGCTCTATTGACGTGCGCTCTGCTCAGTCGCTCTAACCGCACAAGCAAGCGCTCCGTTAATATTCCGCTCACGCTCACCGTGAACCAATTCCCGCTCAGATCCCGCTCCGA